GCCAGGGCTATAGCTCAATTTAAAAAAAGAAAGTGATAGAGAAAGATAAAACAGACATAAATGGATGTAGGTATGGTGCAGGCTTGCTTTTGTTTGCATTCATTTGTACACTAATGCTACTTTACCACTAGACAGTAAATTCCCTGAGGACAGGTCTGCCTCTTACACATCTTTTTTCATATCCTTCAGGATCACACAGGATCCTAGAGATGATCGTATTCAATACTATGTAGTTGACTTGAACTGAACCCTAACTAACTCAGACTTGAAGGTGGCCATCTCCCTTTATCCTTGGATTTTGATGGCACTCAATAAAACAAAGGAGGATATTTATAATGCCAATGTGGACAAATAGCTCTGACTAAAGCAGATATAAGGGGGTAGGTTATTTGATTATCCCTGTGTAGCATGTGTGACTGAAAAAATATTAAGATATTTTAGAATTAAACTGTCAAAATATTATTTTGATTATATTTTAAATTAATCTGTTGGCTCATTGTGAATAACATAGGGAAAACACAAAAATAATGTGGTGTATAAAAATGTAAGAAAGTCAAATTAACCTTCTACGCAGGATTAATTCTTTGGTTGGAATTATGCCTTTTCCTCTGGAGCGATTTTGTATTGAATGGATCCTTACTGTTTATAGGCTTATTTTTCTTGAGGAGTTAAAGACTTGTGGCTTAACAAGGTTTACAAAATAATGCTACCTAATTGCTTTTGTTTTTAGGGAGAAACCTTGGTTTGAATGTTTTGTTTTTTTAGTTTTTCCAATAAAATGGTGTTTTCATGATTGATAGTCTTCTTGTTAAAATTAATTTCTGCTGATATTCCAATATGTGTATGTGTGTTTAATAGCTTAATATAATTCACATAGCACATAATCCACCCATTTAAGGAGTACAACATGATTTGTTTTTAGTCCAATAGATATTTTGATTCATTTTCAATCAGTGGAAGCAGTAATGATAGTTTGGCCAATTTCTCACTTCTCTTGGCCTCAATTTTTACTACGGTTTATAACTTTGTATTCCAAAGATTTGTCAGAATGCTAAGACTCAATCAACTGGCATCTACCATTGAGTAATTAAGGTCTCAGAACTGTCAAGAACCAATGGAATATAAACTAATAAACACTTTGCTATCTGTATTCTCATGCAATGAACACAATATAGAAAGCACAGACGATAATCCAGCATTATAGAAGTTAAATAAATGTTGGCTTCCTTATTTTTCTTTTTCTATCCATTCCTATGAGGTAGAATGAAAAGAGGTTATGAACAAGGTTCTTGAGATATGAATGGGCCAACTGAAGCACTTCCCGAGAGTTATGGAGGGACTCCAGCAAAGCTACTAAAGTAATAAAGTATCTTCTACCCAGGACTGAATGGGATAATCACTCACCACACCTCCCCCCAACACCTGCTTCCTCAGCTACTGCAATGCTCCCTTCAGGGATAGCACTCATTTTTCAAAGGGGGAAACCGGAAAGGGAATATACAGGGAGGCCCTTCACTTCATGTCTGATAAACCCGTGCGTGGGTCACAGTCTGAATTCATCAATTTACTTTGGCACTTTATGTTTTTACTCTTTCAAGTAAAGAAATCTGCAAAGAATTCACATAAAGTTTTACACAGAAGAGATAAAGTCAATTAAAACAGAAAAGCCGCCAGGCCAAGGTAGTTCAGTGGTTGAGCATCGACCCATGAACCAAGAGGTCACTGGTCCAATTCCTGGTCAGGGCACGTGCTGGGGTTGCAGGCTCTATCCTCTGTAGGTGATGTACAGGAGGCAGCACATCAACGTCTCTCTCTCATGGGTTTCTATCTCTCTCTATCCGTCTCCTCTCCCACCTCCTCCCTCCCCATATATTTCAAAAAAAAAAGCCAACCTTGGCCAGTGTGGCTCGGTTGGTTGGGCATCATCCTGTAGTTGAGTGGTTGCTAGTATGATTCCAGGTCAGGACACATGCCCAGGTTATGAGCTCGATCCCCAGTTGGCGGTGTGCAAGCAGAAGCCTAATCAATGTGCCACTCTTGCATCAAGGTTTCTCTCTCTCTCTCCCTCTTCCTTCTTCTCTCTCTAAAAATGAACAAACAAAAACCAACAACAAAGAAAAGCCAACAAAAGCACTGCTGGAACTTGGTTTTTATTTGAAAATTCTTATTCACAATTTTTCTGAAATACTAACAATAAATAACAGAAAATGAAAATGCTCTTCTTTCTAGAAAGTAATATTTTTAATGGAAAATGAATTTATCACCTGAAAACAGTCTGCTATGAAGAAGAAGAAAAATATCCCTTGCAGTGCAGCAACCTGTTTTTTTCCTCGGGAAGACTTGTTCCTCCTCACGCCTACAAAGAACTTCTGTTGTCCAATTCTATCCCCACAGGCAGAGCCTCCCTGCTCGAGTGATGACAAGAGCTAGATCAACAACCGTCTGGCCAGAAGAGGTACAGGGAATATTCTGCTTGTTGAATTAAGCCTGCTTTTCAAAGGGGCAGGGTTTTTTTGTTTTTTGTTTTTTCTTCCTCTGAGAGTGAATGGGACCCAGAGTGCTTTGTCTTTACTGAGAAATCCACAAATATTTCTCAGAATCCGTTAGTTCTGATGGTGCCTGCAGGACAGAATTAGGCCCCTGGAAACGGGGTGGTCTTACCAACCCGGCAATTTCCATTATTTCCCCTAACATCACCTTTGCCCCCCAGCAATAGCAAACTTTGCTCCCACAAAAACAGAGACCCCAGGAGCAATCATCTAAGTTGAGCATTTTTGCTTGTGTTTTCCCTCTACGCCTTTCCAGCATGAGCACTCAAGCAGGACCAAAGGCAGAGCTGCATTCGGAGCCACCACAGAGGACAGATTTGGGTTCTCTGTGCCAAAACACACCAAAGAATTAGGTGCTAGGATGGAAAAATAAGTTTTCTCCATTTCCTGATTGCTTTCGCAGGCCTTCTTATTATCTTGAACTTTCCTCTTGTAAAATACACACACATTAAGAGAAATCACTGGCTTCTTTATTTCTGCCTTATAATAACCGTAAATTCTTGGTTTTCACAGGAAGAGTTGACGACATGGAGTGTTTAGAACTCACCACTGTAGGACACAGGGAGAAGTGGAAATCGTAGGTAGACGAAGCATGGCGCAAATAAAATTAGCTTTCAAGCATATGACTAACGGGAAAGTTATAAGCTACCTGAATCAAGATATCATGGGTTGTCATCAGAGAGTACATCAAGCAATGATTCTTCCTAATGGACTCAAGCTAGAAAACATGTCTTCTGCGCACCAATGTGGAATGGCAACCCAATAGGCCTTCATGTTCCTATAATCACTAATCCCACTTGCCAATACTAATATTTGAGTAATTACAGGAAAGACTTGGGTAAATGCTCTCCTTCTGACAGCCTTGGAAGGCACAATACCTGGATTTGCAAATGTTTGTGAAAACAGGAATTTTGAGGGGGAGAGAGAGAGATTTGTTTTTCTACTTATTTATGCACCACTGGTTGATTCTTGTATGTGCCCTGACTGAGGATTGAACCTGCAACCTTGGCATATTGGATGACACACCAACCAACCGAACTACCCTGCCACGTCCGAACAGGACATCATAATAATTAATCACGGAGAAAGCATAAAACCCTAGTTGGCAACATCAGTAATCCATGGCTGACAGAACAATCTGACTTCTGGCTCTCTCTCTCTCTCCTACTTCTCTGCAGATGTCAACATATACAGTTTTCTGGTACTTAAATCAATGTTGCTATAACTCTGCTCCATAGGGCTCAGCAGTGTAGGGAAACCCAGAGAGGGACAGGGCATGGGAGGCAGTGTGGCACTCTGAAGGGAAGGAATGCACAATGCCTCCAGACATGTGGTTGGGCCACCGGGAAGTCTTGGACAGCTGAGCAGATGGGGAGAAGTAAGCAGGAAACAAGAAGAAGGAGGTCCTTTCCCATTCCAATGGCCATGTGCCCCACATAGACAAGGTCTACCTGGAAACAAAAGGCTGCAGCAGCAAACCAAAGGAGGCATGGCCAGGCAGGAAAAGATGTGAAGTTATATGCACGGGACAGGATGCACTATGAGTAAGCCAGCGCCAGGCAGAGCTTGGATTCCAACCCTGCTCCACCTTTTGTTGGCTTGATGCTTTTTGCAAGATGCAGAAACGTAGCTTCCGTCCTGGTAAAATGTGAACTTAGCTTCCTAGAAGTGCCATGTTCATCAAATGAGCTCATATATGTAAAGCATTTAGCATGGCAGCTGGTGCTGGATAGGGACTTGCCCAATGGGAGCGGCTGGTGAATAGTGTCTAACTCTATTACTCTGAGCAGTGGCTGAACAACGAGGAACAATGGCACTCATATCCCAAGTCAACCCACGGGGGACATATTAAATATGGCAGTACATCTGAAAAGCAAATTCATCTTCTAAAATAAACGAGTAACTTTTATGAATTGGCAGAACTGGAAGAGGCCTTCAGAACTCTGGTCAGACTTCCTCGTTTACTGATGGGAAAATTGGAGAAGGAAATGGAAAGGCTATTGTGGTTTGGATGTCCATGCGCCAAAAATGTATTTTAGTTACAGGAAGGTTAGTCATCCTTTCTTTTATATAACAACACGAGGTGAAGGTGGAGTTAGAAAATCACGGTTGATAGTTTTCTCAGTACACATCTTATACATATATACATATACATACGAACGGGTTCTAGGTATGTTTGCTGTGAAAATACTGGACGCTGTATAAATATGTAAGTGCAAATACACATATAGTTTAGAAATAATAGGGCTAATCTAGGTATACACTTAGCAGAAAGTTATTCGTAGACTCTGTGACCTTGATTGGCCTGCATCACCCAGATCTGCCCATGTGTAGAGTAAACATATCTGACCAGCTTCTTGGAAGCTCCCTGGAGGACTGAGTGAAAGTGTTTCAGGAGTAACCTGGGATTACACAGAATGTGCTTTCCCCAAGCTACAGCCAGTCACTCACCTGTCCAACAGCAAGTTGGGAGCAAACAGGAGCTTCCCTGGGTGCTCCATGGAGCGCCAGACGAGACCAATCATCAGGATCTCCAGCCATGCGCATTCCAAAAGGTGGACCTGATCATGGAGGGTCAAATCCACAAAGCCTGAAATGAGACAAGAAAAACTCTGCTGATTTCCTGTAAAAAGCAGTCGTTGCTGGGAAGAGGAATGCAACCAAGGAGGGGTCTGAATGCATAGGGTCTGTTCTCTATGAGCACTTACTATGGGTCAGAAGCAATGCTAAACACTTCTTGTGCACAATTTCTTTTAATCTCTTATTTTAAAGAATATATGTATTTTATTGATTTTTTACAGAGAGAAAGGAAGAGGGAGAGAGAGTTAGAAACATCAATGAAAGAGAAACATGAATCAGCTGCCTCCTGCACACACACCCCTCCCACACACACTAGGGATGTGCCTGCAACCAAGGTACATGCCCTTAACTGGAATCGAACCTGGAACCCTGGAGTCCACAGGCTGATGCTTCATCCACTGAGCCAAACCAGTTAGGATTAATCTCTTATTAATATAACAACTCGAAGAGGTAGGAACTGATGGGGAATACCATTGTACAGATAAGGAAACAGATATTCAGAGAGTTTATATGGTGTTAAGGTCAGAGATGGAACTTAATACCCAGAAGCTATGCCCATGAGCACAACTGACATTACCTGTTATGAGCTGCAATTAATTATAGACTTTGGATCAAGTGACCAAGTAAATCCAACCACACAAATTAAGATATGACAGAATCACAGAGGCATTCAATTAACAAGATGTCCATAAAGCTGGCTGCTTTCCAAATTAGTTTCCTGTTCTTTTTCCCTGAGGCATCCCATAGATTCTATTTCCTTCTTGGGTCTCTCTGCCCCCAACCCTCTGCTCTCGCTTGTCCATGAGACTGGCTCTAGCAATGCCATTTTTCTGTGAGCTTTTCTTCATTTTATCTCCCCAATACTGTACTTTTTTTTTCTTTTTAAATTTTATTTTATTGTTGAGATTATAACAGATGTCCCTCATTTTCCTTCTATGTCTACCACCCATGTCTCACACACCCCCGGTCTTCACCTGTCTATTGTCTGTGTCCATGGAATATGCATATATGCTTATTTGATTAATCTCTACCCACCCTCCTTCCCATCTTCCTTCTGAGATCTGTCAGTCTGCTTTATGCTTCCATCCATGTCTGTGATCCTATCTTATTTGTCAATTTATCTTGTTCTTTAGATTCCATGTATAAGTGAAATATTTGTCTTTCTCTAACTGGCTTATTTTGCTTAGCATAATATTCTCCAGGTCCATCCATGTTGTCTTAAAGGGTAAGAGACCCTATTTTTTACAGCTACATAATGTCCCATTATGTAAACGTATCATATCCTCCTTAGGATATATTTCTAGAAGTGATACCACTGGGTTAACTGGCAGTTCCATATTTAATTTTTTTGAGTAAACTCCATACTGTTTTCCATAATGGCTGCACCAGTCTGCACTCCCGCTAGCAGTGCGCAAGGCTCCCTTTTCTCCACATCCTTACCAGCATTTTTCACTTTTTGATTTGTTCATACTATCCAAAGCAATCTGCAGACTCAACACAAGTCCTATTAAAATTCCAACAGCATATTTCATAGAACTAGAAAAATATTCCAAAATTATATGTGGAACTGAAAAAGAGCTCAAAGAGCCACAGCAATCTTGAGAAAGAGGAACAAAGTTAGAGGGATCATAATAATACCAAACTATACTCCAAAGCCATTGCATTCAAAACACCCTGGTATTGGCATAAGAACAGGCATGAAGGTTAATGGAACAGAACAGAGATTCCAGAAATCAAACCACACCATTATGGTCAATTAATATTCAACAAAGGAGGCACTTGGGCTATGCAATAGAGTATGCAATGGAGTAAAGACAGTCTCTTTAATAAATGGTGTAGGGAAAATTGGACAAATACATACCAAAAAAAAAAAAAAAAGAAAAAAGAAAAGAAAGAAAGAAAGAGAAACTAAACTACCAGCTTACACCACACACAAGAATAAACTAAAAATGGATAAAAGACTTAAATGTATGTCATAAAACTATAAAAATCCTACAAGAAAATATAGGCAGCAAAATCATAGACATCTCACATGGTAGAATTTTCACACATACAAAGGGAAAATAAACAAATGGAATTACATCAAATTCAAAAGCTTCTGTACAACAAAAGAAACCATCCTCAAAATGCAAAGAGAACCCAAGGTATGGGAGAACATATTTGCTAATGATACATCTGATAAAGGTTAATTCCAAAATATACAAAGAATTCATACAACTCAATAAGAGGAAGACAAACAATCCAATTAAAAAATGGGCAAAAAAGCTGAAACCGGTTTGGCTTACTGGATAGAGCATCTGCCTGCAGCCTGAAAGGTCCCAGGTTTGATTCTGGTCAAGGGCATGTACATTGGTTGTGGGCACATCCCCGGTAGGGGGTGTGCAGGAGGCAGCTGGTTGATGTTTCTCTCTCATTGATGTTTCTAACTCTTTCTCCCTCTTCTCTTTGTAAAAACTCAAGAAAAAAATACACACACACACACACACACACACACACATATATATATATATATTTTTTTTTTTTTTTAAATGGCCAAAAGATCTAAATAGACATTTCCCCAAAGAGGACATATAGATAACAATAGACATGAAAAAATGCACTAATCATCAAGGTCACTAATCATCAGATAGATGCAAATTAAAACCACAATAAGATATCACCTAATACTACACTTTTATTAGCTATGAATCAACCATAAAATTCATCATTCTATCAAATCCTGCCTTTTTAAAGCCCAAATAATTGCAACTTCTGCTCCATCATTCAGCCATCTGAAGGCCCAAAACCATTGGAAACACTGGGTGTTGCTCTCATAAAGCAGGACTTATAATTGAAGAGAATGCAGGCAGCTTTGTTTACAAGAAAACCTAAAGAATCAAACAACAGCGACTGCCAACATAAAAACAGTCAATGGGATGTAAATGGCAGCCCAGAGAATAAAGTCAATAATACTGTAATAACTGTGTGTGGTGTCAGATGGGGACTAGATTTATCTGGGTGATAACTTTTAAGTTATAGAAATGTTGAGTCACAATGTTGTACACTTGAAACTATTATAACATTGTACGTCAACTGCAATTGAAAAAAATTTTTTATAAACAAAAGGATTAAAAAACAGTGATTGGGTTCCAGGCCACCCGGGGAGAAAAGGAGCATGTATCCCAACAGCCTGCAGCTCTTTGCCTCCAGAGTATGTTGGGTCGAAATGGACTAGCCTTGCTCTGGGCCTGTGGTCGGCAAACTCATTAGTCAACAGAGCCAAATATCAACAGTACAACGATTGAAATTTCTTTGGAGAGACAAATATTTTGAAGTTACACTTCTTCTAATGCCACTTCTTCAAAATAGACTCGCCAAGGCTGTGGTATTTGGTGGAAGAGCCACACTCAAGGGGCCAAAGAGTCGCATGTGGCTCGCGAACCGCACTTTGCAGACCACGGCTCTGGGAGAACACTGCTGGAGGCAGCAGGAGATGCCCCCTTTCTCAGTACCCAACTTCTACTCTGGGGAGCAGTATTGATCAGGAAAGCTCTTAGGGAAGTTTCAGTTCTCTAAGATCTCACCCCAATCTTCTGAATGAAATCTCATAACCACATGTCAAGTCACCCTGTAACTTAAATTCACTTTCAGAAATGTTAACATTTCAAAGTGAGATCTTAGATTAATCAGGGAACTTGTATCCACTATGCATAGCTCATGGACACAGACAATAGTGGGGTGAAGGCCTGGGAAAGGTGGGTGCAGGGTGGAGGGATCAAATGGGAAAAAGAGGGGATTATCTGTAATGCTTTCAACAATAAAGGTAATTTTAAAATAATAAATAAAAACAGCAACAAAAAAACGTGACTTATTTTCTTTCATGAATTCGCTATTTTATGTGGAAAAAAATATAATCATGTGTTAATGTCACTCCTGATCAAACCCACACTGTGTCATTCAATACCCACCCTCAACCTCAAGTCATCACATAGGATGAGATTTGGGGGTGTCTCTCGAGAGAACTGCAGCTGGCTATCAAAACCCAAGAAGCGCTTTCTGGTGGCAACCTTAATATTAAAGTGAATCATTCCTTTTAATTCCAACTTCAAAACTTCCGTGCTGTTTAAGCCGGACTGTTTTAGTGGTCTTTTGGGAGCCTCAGAAGCTCACTATAACCATACCACACACACGTCTGGTGATTATGAAATCTGTCTGAAGTGTGTCTGTTTGTTCGTAATATGGTTCCAGTCTGATTCCGTCCTTCCGTTGACATGATGTAGATCTCTCAAAAAGAAACAGTCTGATGATGGTCTTTCCCATCTGTGCCTAAGGCCTACAGACCAGGGTCAAGTTCCTGGAGGCAGCGTGGAAAGAAGGCTGTCAATTAACCTCAATGAATGCGAGGGCGATTGAAGGAAGTTAATAGGGGAGTGTCTCCTTTCTTTGGATATACTGTTCTCAATGTTAGACACACAGGAGCCTAAGACACACAGGAGCCTAAAGGGTATTTAGGATATGTCCATTAGTACTCTCAATTTATAACCAATGGAGAAAAATAATGCAATAAATCTCAAACAAAATGATATGGGGCCAACCATCTATTGACATCAAGCTTCAATCACTTGACCTGTTTTTCTTACAAACAGAAAGAATGGTCCAATATGCAGTTTCACCTGATGTGCTAGAAGAACCCAGAAGCATTCAGCAATGCCTTTCTTGGACACTGGAAAATGTCGCCAGTATGAGGATGGGAGGCAGCAGCATCTATGGGGTATGAATAGAGGCTCCAGTGACAGGTGAGACAGTGAGAGGTGAGTCCTATCGCTTAGGGATTCCCGTCTAGGGATTCCCTTCTTACTGACAGTGATGGGGGGCTGTGGAGCTGTGGAATCCACTCCAGTGGGACAGAGCACATACCTAAAAAGCAGTAACAATATTTGATTGAAACCAAGTGAAATCACCTACAATGAAATCTCATTTTGTAAAATGAAATTTTTGAAGTGAACAGGGGTCTTTTTTTTTTTTTTCCAG